ATACCATTCTAGGTTATTAATATAAGAGTAAGTTGACTAGTTTGAATATATTAAAAAAGTTTGTTAAGTTAGTTATTTATAATAAATAGATGTTGTCTTCCTAAAATATCCTTACTAATCACGTCTATTAAGTAAAACTATCATTTGATGGAACCTTTAACACGTGCAATTACTATAAAAACTACTTTTAAAAAAAGGGATAAATTGGAAAGATAAAATAGATTGAGGTTTTATATTTAGATTCAAATTTATTCAAGCTCATTCTTATATTGACAATAGGGGGTAAGATCATGAATATCCTAGGGGAAATTACAACCAAGTCCACAGAAAAAAAATAATTACCAAAAGGTCCCAATAACAATCTCAACAACCTATAACGACAAATCCTATAGTAAAAATGACAACCTTTAGAACTTGTTTTTTAATTATTTTTCTTGTTTAGGATCTCGTTGTAATTCTCCCAATATCTTAATCCCATCACAGGGAACATAGGCAAACATACGGGAGAGACACATCGTACATCATCAATCAACTCGGCCTAAAAATGACAAAGGCCCGAATTGTATTCATCAATATGAATAACTGTTACCTATATAATAATAGGGAGAATGATAGAAAAAAAAATTGAAAATGTGAAATGCTAACGCTTAAAAATAACAAAAAGAGAAGCTCAACCTAAGTAATGAGATTTTGAAATTGAAGCAAAATGGTTTGTAATTAAAATAATAGAAAATATATATATAAATTAACTACTTGACTTTAAGAACCGATCATTCACAACTTCTGCACAAGTAGTAACTACATTTCATGAGCCATTAACAACTTTTATCTAACAAGTAATAAGGTCATTGACTGAATATCATTCATAATTTTTTATATGGGTATTGACTATTTTTTCTTAGTTATTAATAATTTTTGTGGTCAAAATGCCTCATTTATTTATTTGGAAAAATTTGAAATTTAGAAAAAGTTTAGCAATTTAATAATCACGATTTTGAATTAATTTATATATTTCTTGCATTTCTTTTATTGCAAATCAATGGTCACCTTTAATTTTAACGTCAAATGTTTATGTTAAAATCACAACTTATTAATTTATATTCCCAAATTGGTAAAATGCATCAAAAAGTGGGCATTCTCAATTTGGCTAAATGAAAATAGTTAATCACTAATGAAATGTAATCAATACATATACAAAATTTGTGAATAACTTGAAAGAGTTACATCGTTATCTGTTAAACGAAAGTTATTAATGGTAAATAAAATGTAGTCAATATTTATACAAAAATTGCCAATGATCGATGGTCAGTAGCCTTGTTACTTGTCAAATGAGAGTTGCTAGCAACTCGTAAAGTATAGTTAATACTTGTATAAAAGTTGTGAATGATCAATAGTTAAAATTAAGTAAATTTATATTTTTCTTGTTACTTGTCAAATGAAAGTTGCTAGCAACTCATAAAATATAGTTAATACTTGTATAAAAGTTGTGAATGATTAATAGTTAAAATTAAGTAAATTTATATTTTTTTTCATTATATTAATTATCTGATGATCATCCTTAATTTTGACACAAACTACTAAGTGATAGAAGGATCAAATCCTACACTTGCTAGCACTTCTTTCTGGTTCCGTGAGGGAGTTGGGAACTTTTTTCTTTTTTAAAAAAAAGAAAAAAGTAAGGCGCTTTCTGTAATTTTGCTCCTATTTTAAAATCTTAATTTAAATGTGAGAAAATGATACTGAGATCCCATGAAAAATAAAATACTACAAAAAAGTCCCTTCAAACTTGATAATTGCACAGGAGTCTTAAAGGTACTTGATGAAAAAAGTGAGTAGACATAATTGACTTCCCTAATGAATAGCCAAAAAACTGTGACAGAGTTGATTTCCTTCGTCTTCTTCATAGAGCTCCTAGGTGAGAAAGAAAAGCTTGACATCAAAGAAAGCAAAGTGGCGGAGCATCTTTCCCATCACTATTATTGAAGTTGAAGCACTTTTGCTTCATTGTCTCAATGATTTTGAGGTTCAAAACTTTCTTTCCTCTCCTCTCCCAGAATATTTTGATTAGCAAATTGGGTTTGTGTGGGGTATGTAGAAAATCACTTCTTCCTTTAGCTATTGCAAAGTTTTTGTTTTTTGATCTGTTATAAACAAGGTAACTAATTGCAAAACTCATGTTTCTGGTCTGGTATGTGTTGATGATTTAACTTGGGGTTTTATTGTGGGTGGGTAGGGTGATTATGAGTGCTCTATTTTTAGGTATATTATAGGTGAATTGATTGTGGGTTTGCTCTGCTTCGTCATGATTTAGTGGGAATGAATGAAAAAGATAAAGATTAGTGTAGGTAGAAACCCTTACTATGAAATGGGAGAATGTGTTGTTAATATACGCTGTGATAGTTGTTAATATAATTACTTGACATATTAATGACAACTATGTTATACAGATTTAGATTAAAGATAGTGAGTATGTCTATAAAGCATATATTTTGTATTTTCATATAGGAGGAAGTTTGCAAATGATGGAGAAGATAATGGGTCCATTTGGTAGGGCTTATTTGGGCTTAAAAGTAGCTTATTTCACTTATAAGCCCGATTGGAAAATGATGTTGTGTTTGGTTGGGCTTAAAAAAAAAAGGAGCTTATACATTTTAAGCTACGAAACGGGCGTTCTGGCTGAAGCTCCATTTTGTTGCTTATCTCCTCACTTTAAAAGCTTATTTTTTACCATTGAAGTGTCAGAGGGTTATTTTATTCTTACTTCAACTGGGAATCCGTCATTTCTTCACCTCTTCTTTTTTTTCTTTCACCTTAGAGCTCCCGTGACCATGAGCTGGAGCCCAACACCCTTCGTCATGTCATCGCCGGAACCATCGACACCTGGTCGCCGTGAGCTCTATCTCGTCTCCGCTGTGGGGTCATCGTCTTCGGTATGGCTTTGAGTGACCAAGAGCTTGGTCCTTCATCGCGACTTGACCTTCTCCGAGTTGCTATCGCCGTCTCCAACCCAGGTCACTGCTGTCTGCCGGTGCATGTGAGGTATGCGTCGACATCTTAGCCTCCCAGTGGAATAGAGTGTCTGATCTACCTCTGGCAAGCTTTGGGTGGTCCGATCTGTGACAAGTTGGCCGGTTCCTATTTTTGTGTTGGTTTTCGGTGAATATGGCAGTGATACGTGATTGATCCAAGCATGTAGAGTAGTGTGTGTGTGTGTTGATCTGTGTGTGAGCTAATAGAACATTTGGTTTTGATCCCCTGTTGATTCCTGAAACTGTCATCTTCCCTGCTGTCCATGATGATCAAACCACCGTGTTGTCCTATTTTTTTCCTTCTGGTTCAGTGCTGTGTTTTGTGAAATGACTGTCATCCCTACTGTCGGTGAAGGCCACTCCCTTCGCTGGTGGAAGAGGGAAATGTAGTAACCCTATTGACGAAAAATCATTCTCCTTCGTCTCGGAAATACTTCCTCCGCAGCACCACGGTGTTGTCCTTTTTTTTTTTCCCTTTCTAGTTCAGTGGTTCTGTTTCAGTGAAATGGCAGTTGTCCCTATAGTCAGTCAAGGCCACTCCATTCATGCGTCATCCTTGCTGTCATTTAGTGCTTTGTTTCAGTATCCATTTGTGTATAAACGTTCACAGTTTGAAATATTCGAGTGTAGGTTCATTTAATGTGTATCTATAATAATAATGTTGAATGATTTTAGTCAATTGAACTTGGACAGAGTCACATGTTCATTCTTAGTTGATGAGAATATATGCTCTATTTGTTGTGATTGATTATTTGAGGCTGAATCATCTTCAAGCTTCTATGTACTCCTTTTATGATGTTTATAGAAATTTAACGGAAAGAATTGATGAGTTATGCGCTATATGAATGTTGGAGCTTCAGGTTAATGTATTGTCTTTCCTTTTTCTCTTGTTCTACTTGTATTTGTCTTTGCAAATGGGACTACTGGAGCTTCCACATGACGAAAATCTCTGAACATGAACAAATATATATATATATAAGGAAAAATGTGGGAGGTTTGTTGGTTAAAAATAATACTTTTATTAAGTGGTTACTAAACAAATTTTTATGCTAATATGTTAGGAAAACAAAAAAGTTCCAATTTAGACAGGTTTGGTTCTAATTTGGTTATAAATACTTGGTGGATATTTTACATGTGAATATCCTGATTTTGTTTTTAAAAAATTTAGACCTATTGTCTAATAAATAAGTCAAATACTAAATTACGGGTAAGTGGATGTTGGGATAAAGAATTTATTCTACTTTTAAGACAAGGGATTCTTGTGTCATAATGAGAAATGGTCTAAGAATGATAGATCCTAATCCAAACACAATGGTGGAACAAAATTTGTATCATTCATGTATGTATATATATATATATATTTTAGCACAGTTCATGTCTAATTTTTAATATTGTATCATGCTTAATACAAATGTTTAATGTGTCTAGCAATACGTATGATCAATATGTGATGTTCAATTTGGTAATTTATTATTTATTTAATTTTATCATTTAATATTTTAATAATAATTTTTTTAAAAAAAAATTAAACCTAAACCATTAAAATAATAACTTAGTGGTTAAAAAAAGAAAATGAGGGAAGAAGAGAAGAAGGAAAGACAAGGTGTTCAAAGCGATGAATAAATAGTCTAGTGTCATTCTAATCCAAACACTTTTTTGTCTTGGGATTTCTTCTTAATTTTAGGTGAGAAGAATATGCAAATAACACATATTTTTGTTTGGGTAGAACTTATTTCTTACATAATGTAGCTTGAACTTGAATATTTTTAGTGCTTTGTTTGTTTCTGTTAGTCTTATCTATATTATTTTCCACCTAGAAATAGATAATGAAAAACGAAAAGCGAGTTAGGATCCATACACGACGAAAATTCTAATAGATTTTTGTGTCAAACAAATAGTGCACAAGGAACGTCATTTACAAGGCCCGGTTGGAACAAAATTACAAAGAGTTTTCAGGAAAGGAGCGGGAAAATGTATGATAGAAAGCAACTTAAGAATAGATTTGACATTTTGAGAAAGGATTGGAAGTTGTGGGAAAAACTTATGTTTGGGGAGATTGGCATTGGTTATGATGCAGCGACAAATAGGGTATTGGCCTCTGATGAGTAGTGGCAACGAAAATTAATGGTAACTATTTGTGTTGATTGAGTTTTAATTTTAAATATTAGTTTAGTCATCGCTTACACTTGCCTAATTATGTTAATGTAGGTGAATCCCAATTTCAAGAAATTTAGACATCAGGGGTTGATGTTTGCATTAGATCTAATGAAGATATTCAAAGATGTTGTGGCTTCGGGAGAGTATATGTACACACCATCAGCCTCACAGCCTCAGCTAGCATTCGCTCCATAGCCTGACACAGAAGAGGAGGAGGATGTTTATAGAGTCAGGTTCGACCAACAGGAAGGGTCGGGGGACAATGGGGATGAAAATTTCGGTGTTGACCCAACAGCCAGCGCAGGGGTCACATATGACTTTACCGGTTGCAACTTAAACAACCCCTCGAGTACTAGACCAAGTAGCTCAAGAAGCTATGGAAAGAGGAAGAGGGGTGAGACATTTGATGCGAAGAAGAAGAAAAAAGTTGTTGCGTCTACTAAAATTTCTAATAGCCTTAGTGTTATAGCAGCTGCTTCTAATAAGCGAGTAGCAGCATTGGTTGAAGATCCCCAACTAGTTGACAAGGTTTTGGCACACCTGGCTAGCCTTAAAGAGCTTAATGATGACTCTCAACTATATTATGCATGTGCTCAGATGCTTGCACGGTTGAAGTGGGCTAGGCGAGCCTATTTGGGGTTTATGCATGATCGACGCAAGTTGTTGGGGTGGTTGATACCGGCAGCACAAGACCCATACACATGGAAGGGACCTGCATAATAGGATTTAGTTCATGACTTAGTTGTTTCACTGTTGTTATTGCACTTGTTAGCTTGAACTAATTGCTGTTTTAACCTTAACTGATGTGGCCTATTGTAGGAACATTATTAATGACTAAGTAATATATTAACTTTAATTTCTGCTTGTCATCTATGGTTTGCTTTTCTGTTTGCAGTTTGAAAATTATTTACACTTTGTTTAGTTTGGTAACTACAATGTTTACACTTTATTGTCATCACAGTTACAGGGTTAATTCCAGAAATGGCTAATTAGAATGATGATTCACCATGGAATGAAGATACTCTGCGGAATTGGGATAACGATTCATGGTGGAATGAAGATAACCATTCAACACGGTTATCCATGATTAATGAAGAATTAACACAATATGAAATAGTAGGTGTATTGGTTGGTCATTATTCTGAAATGTATATGTATAAACAACCCTGTAGAACTAGTTAGCTGACAGGAAACTTACAGGTACAAGGCATTATGGAGGGGCATGATGATCGATGTCCCGAAATGTTTAGAGTGGATAAACATGTTTTCCACCTCTTATGTACTAAATTTTCAACCAAAAAAAAAAACCTCTTATGTACTAAATTAGAGGAACATGGTTTACAAAAGTCTAAGTACGTAGGAATTGAAGAAATGGTCACAATGTTTTTAAACACAGTTGCACATGGACAATGCAATAGGATGATCTAGGAACAGTTTCAACATTCAGGGGAAACTATAAGTAGGCACTTTCATAATGTACTGCAAGCTTGCCTTAGCCTATCGAGTGAACTTATTCAACCCATAGATCCTATATTTTGTGGAACTCATAGAAAAATTGAAACCGATCCACGTTATTATCCATTTTTTAAGGACATAATCAGAACACTTGATGGCACTCATATATAGTGTGTTGTCTCTGCTGCAAAACGAGACAAATTTATTGGCAAAAAGAGAAACCCATCACAAAATGTCATGGCTATATGTGATTGGGATATGTGTTTCACTTTTGTCTTGGCAGGGTGGGAGGGATCTGCATATGATGCTCGTATATTTGACAGTGCTATTACAAATTTATCTCTTAATTTCCCTCATCCACCTCCAGGTATATGTTTATAAGTTCCAATCACTCATGTTTTTTTAATTATTTCATATTTTTATTCATTTCACAATCTTTCAAATTGTTTCATGAATCATTAGGGAAATATTACTTGGTTGATGCGGGATATCCAACACCAAATGGATATCTAGGCCCATACAGATCTGAGCACTACCACCTTCCAAACTTCCAACGACAAGTAGGAGCCCAAAATAGTAACAAAGCATTCAATTATTATCATTCCAGTTTAAGGTACACAATAGAAAGAGCCTTTGGTGTTTGGAAGAATAGATTTCACATCTTACGAAACATACGTAGTTATGACTTCCAAACACAAGTGTACATGGTTTGTGCAACAATGGCTATTCATAACCTTATAAGGAGACATTCAAGCTCCGACTTCTTTTTTGAACAAGTTGAAAATGGTAATATAGTGACCGAACATGATCAGGCTGAAGCTAGTCAACCATCGCCTTCAAATGTTACATCATAGTCTTCATCGCATATGAATCATGTTCGTGATGCAATTAGAGACCAAATTATCCATAGCTTATCAATTAATTAATTATGTAATATTATTTTGTTTTACTTTGTCAATTGGAGTTCAAAACATTTTTATCCATTTTTTTTCATTTCTCTGATGCTTTCAAATTTAATTCACTTAATCAATTTCACTTCTTCATATTAAATTAATTTAAATTTATTGTATTATGTCAATTTATTTTTTTATCATGTTGCACTTCATTTCTTAAATATTTCTTATGATTTCTCTAAAGTTCTTAATTTTAATTCACTCATTAAATTTTACTTCTTCATTATATTATCTCAATTCATTTTTTTCTTCTTTCACTTTATATTTAAAATATTTTTTTATTTCTCTAAAATCTTAAAATTTAATTCACTTCTTCATATTAAATTATTTTAATTTCATTGTATTATGTGATATCTTTTTTTTTCATTTTTTATTATTTATTAGAACTCATCCCCATTTTGATTATTTTACAACCAAACTTACTTTTACTCAACCATAATCTAAACAACTTTTTACCAATCTCACTTTTGTAAATGGACTTTTCTGAACTCCAATCCAAACATAATTCAGCTTATCCAATTTAGTTTTTACCCAACTTCACTTATCCATAAGCTACTTTTTCAATAAGTAGCTTTTCCAATCGCTGATCCAAACGGGCACAATATGCGATATGTTGAATATGCTAGGGGTAGTGTGAGCACAAGAAGCATAAAGAAAGACACAAATTATGAAGAGTTGAAGACAATGATATCATTATTTTTTGGGGACATTAGAATTCAACTTAGGTAATGTGGTATCTATACATTACTACAAAGGATCTAATCCAAAAAACAATGAAAAATTCAATTTGTTGTTTAATATAATTTTAATAAGTTCATGGAGGCCCCTAAAGTTCAAGCACACTAACTTGAAATTAAATTTTTGTCAAACTTCTATTAGTAAATATAGTGATAAGTGACAATACCAACGTTAACAAGTAAGGAAAGGTGTATTAATATGAGAGAGTGCAAATAATGACAACTAAATATATATCAAAATGTAACTTTTCAGATTATATTGTTCTCAGTTGCCATTGCATGGTGTTATTGTTGTCATTTGATTTTGTCTTGCTTAGTCTTCTTTGTTATGTAAATTATTTTTTTGCAAAATAATTGTTTAACGATAGCTCGTTACATGTTATTAAGCCAGAATTGTTTAAGAATGAGGGTAAAATTGGCAACGATGTAAAAGGGGCCAAATTTTATGTCTAGTATGATGCATGAGTTTATTTGCTGGACTAAATTAATTTTTTTTAGTGTGGTTTGCAAGAATATTCACATGATCTTTACATGTTAAATTTTGTTTACAGTGATTCATGTAACGTTCATGTCCTCTCGTGGCTACAAGAGTAGAATGGCCCAATTCTTGATAGTGTTAGATATACCATGACACGGTACTTGAAGATAAACTGCAAGAGCTCAAGTTTGAATGCATATGGTAGTCGGTTACTCATAAAAACAACAAACATAGGGATAAAGTACTATCGATGGTACTTGATTTCAACCAAAGTAAGAAAAGGAGATAAAGCTATTAACAATCAGAGGCATTAGAAATGACCAATAATAGTCCTCTGATTGACAACTCATTCTATGGTAGGAGCCAATCCAATTATACTAAATTGTATATAATATGACTACTTACATTCTTCTTCATATGTTAATGTTCTTGTATGTTACATGAAATAGGATCCAATCCAATTATATTAAATTCCATTTATTTACTTACACATTAAACAAAAAACAGAATATATATCACCAAAAAAATTTAACAAAGTGATAGTGTAGTTATTAACAAATTAGGTGTAGATATTAATACTTGATGTAAAAAATATTGCCAACCAAAGGTATTTTTAGTTTCAAATTTGCAACTGAATTTTATATATAATAAAATATAAATATCATAACTCATTATAACTAGAATGTATTACTGAAATTTATGTCAATTAAAGGCTATTGAAAAAGGACAATTCCAACTATTGATAGGTTATAATGCCACCATTGACAAGTGACAGTAAAGTCACTGACAAGTCTAACTACAACCAATAAAAAATCAAGGTGTAATGAATGACAAGTGATTGTATAATTTCATATTAATGATGATAAATATGTTATTAGTGATATTATATAACATTATAAACAACTTTATATCATATAACATTATAACCAATCTCATATCAGCATATAATTTGACAAGTGATAGTGTAATGATTAACAAGTGGAGAAGCATGTATTGACAATGCAAGATGTAAATAATTACAACTGATTACACATTAGAATTGAACATGTCATTTTATAGCCAACTTTTATTTACAACTTTATATACATATAATTTCACCAATTTCACAAGTTGTCCCACAAAAATATATGGGTTACATGTATCTGATATCAAACTAATTACTATCTCCGATCCTATTTATAAGATCTCGTTTATAGACTATAAATAATTTTTTATAATTAGGACTAGAGGTAGTATTAATGTGCGTTGTCACATATACAAAAAATTCCCTTCATAGCTATTTAAAAAAAAAAAAAGGCTTGCACAACATGTTTTCAACTAGAATTTGAGTTCTTACATGTCCTGGCACTATGTTTAGACTTATTGCATCTACCATAGCACATGAAATTGATGGTGTCTCCCTAATTTATTTACAACTCGAAAAAAATTGATCAATCCTACAATAAATGACAAGTTATGGTATATACAATGATAACTTAGGAGCACTTTAATAATAAATTACATGGAAAAAAATGATAATAGAAGATATTTGTTCAAACCAAGCCTACACATCTTGCTCTTTCATTGTATCATCTCTTATTGCTTCCATATGGTCATTATTTCCATTCTCTTCTATATATACATAATCACTTTTTTTAATTGAACTTTATTACATGCTCTACCCCTTCATCATCTATCAACTGCATAAATGTATTTTTATAAAACATAACTGAAAATTTCAAAACAAAGGAATTACTTTCTTTTTCAAGAAATAGTGATATAATTTCCTTCAACTCTTCATAACTTGTGACTTTCTTTATATTTTTTGTTCTTACACTATTCCCAATATATCACTTATCTTTTTCTCCATCATTTATAAACTTACCCCATATGATAAAAAAAAAAAAACAAATAGATGCTTTACAAACATATTTGTCAACTTTAATGTAAACCTACATCACACAGTTATCATTACCAAGTGAAGTAACAATATTGACAACTATTGTGGTTTATATTGACATCTATTGAAGTTTACATTGACAACACAATATCCCATTTCATAGTAAAAATTTCTACCCATACCAAATTTCATCTTTTTCATCCATTCTCACTAAACCA